AAGGGGCTGCAACTCTCCATGGGGCTGCAGGTGGGGGCCGCGAAACCCAAGACACTCAAGACAGCTATCATGAAGGTTCTGAATTGCTAAAAATCAAGAGCTTCAGGGGGCTCCATCCACTGGAGCTCGGAATTGACTCTTCCCCTAATATAGACATGGGTAATAAACTTCTTTTTTTGGGGGGGGGGGTGGGGGAAATGTTAAGCATTATCCAGGGGGAGCCGCCCTCCGTCCCCTTGAATGAATGCTTTATGAAGTTTTTGAAACCGAGAAAAGAGCCATTCCTTCCTTCTTCTTTTCTCCAGTTTTCTTTTCGTTTCTTCTAATTTCCTTTCCTTTTCCTCTCTCCTTTTTCTACCTTTTGTGTGTGTTGTGTGTGTTGTAAAGTTTGAGGGCAGTACGCAAGTTTTACAATTACCATAAACAGTTGGGAAGACCCTAAACCTACGCCCCCACCTCCAACAACCATGGCTTTGTTTCAAAAGAGCCGAACCATCAACAAGGAGAATAAAAAACAGTCCCTTATAGGTATATAGTGAGAGTTTTGTTTTAAGGGTTTTAGTATGAGTTTAAAAAACAAATGGCTTAATAAATCAAAGCAAACGAAGTGGAAGAGGGGGTAACCTCGCTATTCGTAAGGACCGCTATTCAAAATATAGGTTTTCGCGTTATGTATAGCGTACAAAGAGGTAATGCGATCCGAATATGAACCAAAACATTTACATCCTTTTTGTTGGGATGTGGTTGGGGGTAGTGGACGTGTGGTCAGGGGCGTCGCTAAAAGGGGTGTGAGACACCCCCTCCCCCTCCCCCACTTGTCAAGATATTGTCGGTAAAATCGCGCTGCTGTCGGGAAAATGAGAAAAGGGTAGGGGGAAATGAGAGGGAAAGGGAAAGAAAAGAAAAGAAAAAAAAAGGAAAAGAAAGAAAGGAAGAGAAGAGAAGAATGAAAGAGAAATAAAAACAAGTGGAAGGAGAGAAAACAAAGGAAAGAAAGAAAGAAAGAAAAAGGAGAAAGGGAAAAAAAGAGAAGAAAACAAACGGGGGATGAAAGAGAGGAGAGAGAGAGGAGGGGTGGGGAAGTAAGAGAGAGAGGGGATGTTTGGTGGAGTCGCCACGTCCAGAGATCAAGAATGATGCATACGCATAGATATGTTGCTGTGTGGGGTCCGCTGTTTCGGTATTAGGGACTTTTAGATTTGCGTGGACTAATACGTGTGACGTCCATTCAAGGCAGTGCTAAATAAGGACGTCGAGCGTAGCATAGACCTATTGTCTTCGTGCGAATCTAAAAGTCCCTATTCTTGCTCGATCCTCGTGTACTATATCAATGCAGAAGTTAATTCGGTGGGATGTATTATGTCGGTCGGCCGGCATTTTTTCCCCCTACGAACTGTGACTTTTCATCGGACAAAGAAACATTTTTGAAAATTCAGACAATGATTAAGAGTCGTGCAACGAATCGTCTTCTTTCTAAAATAATTTAATGAAACGTTAAAGCTTCCGCGCTTTGCGCGGGAGGGGGCAACCGAATTAAGACTAGGATTAGAAGTCGAGAACGGTACAACCAATCGTCTTCTTTCTCAATGATTTAATGAAGCGGCAAAACTTCCGCGCCTCGCGCCGTAGGGGGGGAAACTGAATTCAGACAAGGATTAAGAATCGAAAACATTATAACGAATCCTCTTCTTTCTCTAATAATTTAGATAAGATAAGATAAGATAAGATTTTATTCGTCTTTCTTTCAAATGACATACAGAGCATAACATTGGAACATAACACATTTACAATGCAAAATAACAAATTATGGCAATGATAAAAACAAAGTTAACTAAAAGAAAGGCGAGGAGACCCTGGTAAAAGCAGAGCTTGTAATTATTAGGGTCCCCTCTGAGCCGGATAAAAACATGATGAATAGATATTTGTGACTACCTAAGAATACAATAGGGAAAAGGGGGTATAACAAAACAAGAAGTGTACACACACACAACAACAACAACAAAACGAGAGACGAGACTAGACAAGACGGGAGAAAATAGAAAATATGAGAAATAATAGAAGACTACAGGACATCGACAATAGGCACAGCACACAACGGGCACAAGACAACAGGGGGAGGGAATAAGAGGTTGACAATCTGAAAATATTCAGTTAGACACATATTAATATCAAGAAGAAAATTTACATTTATAGTAATACATAATATATCTTGGCACCATAATAACTACAAAAATGAACTACTCTATGAGTCACAGTATTTATCGAGAAGATAAACCTTAAGTTTACACTTAAATGAAGAGAGACTAACAGATTGCTTAACGCTAGAGCCTAGAGAGTTCCAAAATTTAGGTCCAGTAAAAACCAAAGTATTAAAAGTTAACTTTGTCCTTACTTGGGGTAAGTGAAACGCAGAGGCATTTCGTGTAGCATGGTCATGAACTTGACTATTTTCTTAAAAATGCTGACTAGAGCCTGTGGAAGGACACCAGAATCGAAGTCGTACATTAAAGAACCCAGTTGAATTTAATGAAATGTCAAAGCTTCGCTCAGGAGGGGGGCAACTGAATTCATGCAGACTAGGATTAAGAGTCGAGAACGGTACAACGAATCGTCTTCTTTCTCTAATAATTTAATGAAATGTCAAAGCTTCAGCGCTTCGTGCGGGAGGGGGGAACTGAATTCAGTCTAGGATTAAGAATCAAGAACGGTACAACGAATCGTCTTCTTTCTCTAATAAATAAAAAAAAACGGCAAGGCGGAAGAGGCCGGGAACTGAATTCAGACAAGGATTAGGAATGGAAAACTGTACAACGAATCGTCTTCTCTTTCTAATAATTTAATGAACTGTCAAAGCTTCAGCGCTTCGCGCGGGAGAGGAGGGGGGGGGGGGGTGAATTGAATTCAGACTAGGATTAAGAGTCGAGAACGCTACAACGAATCGTCTTCTTTCTCTAATAATTAAAAAAAGGCAAAGCGGAAGAGGCCGGGAACTGCGATTGAGAATTTCTTTCTCTAATAATTTAATGAAATGTCAAAGCTTCAGCGCTCCGCGTGGGAGGGGGAAAACTAAATTCAGAATAGGATTACGAGTCGGGAAAGGTATAACGAATCGTCTTCTTTCTTTAACAATTTAATGAAATGTCAAAGCTTTCGCACTGAAAAAAAAAAGTAATGCGCACATATCCACCCCAAGAGAGACTCAAGGCGCCTAACAAGGTAAGTACATTGAACGAAAATAATTTAACATAATCAAATATAATTCAACAACGTTAATTACATCATATTTTGAAATACACTACGTCTTAACTAAGGAACTCAGACATTAGATAGGTTTTCAATTGTTTTTGGAACAC